ATTCCACACACACAAAAAAACAAAAACAAAAAAAAAAAACCCACTCTGCTGGAATGGAAAACTGGAATATGCAGGACAGGGTTATAGACAGATATTTTAAGCCTTTAAGCATTTTGCCCAAGGGAATGAGCTAAAAATGTAGCAGCTGCTGTTTGAAGTAATGCCATTTAGCAAGTCCTCATTCACTGCCCCGGCCAAGTCAGATCCCTACATGGACCAATCACCAAATCACCAATCCCAGGAGAAAATATGAAGATCAAAGAACTTAAATGTAGTTTTATTAACTGTCCATCTGCCCAATGTTAGAAAAAGCATGAATTTAACTAAGGGTGACATTACAAAAGACACAAGAAATGATAAAATTCTTGACTTTTTAAAAATCAAGAAATACAGCACACCTATTTTTCATCAGTGACAGCATGGGCAATATCAAGTTCTGACTTGTATACATTTCAACTTTTACGTGTAAACATTAATTTGTCAAGAAAATCTTGAAGGACTTGTGAAAGAAGGATGATTTCACATACAAATGCCCTATAGAGTCTTGCTGGGTGGGGGTGGGAAGGGGAGAGGCTATACTCACATGGCAGAAGCGGTTTTTAACCTGGGCAGTATTTACTCAACTTGCCTGATGATGAAACTCAGTGTAGTGCTTGTTAAAGAGCTAAGGGCCCCACCCAGTTCCTGGGAGCACAGAAATGGGTATCTTTAATTAGCCTCCCAGGTGATTCTTATCCGGAAATTCTGGGAAACACTGAGCTAGATTCATGCATGGAATCATGCTATATATGTGAACTTTCAAAGGGGGTCGCAAAGTGGTGAACACACTGGCATGGCATAAAAAATTTTCAGGATTTTGAAGATAGGATGTTTGCAGTGCAGCCACTATACAGCAAGTCCGAATGTGCTGGTGTTGGTAAGGTGCTATTCTGGGAATGCTATGATTGAGGACACAATATTAAGGCCAAGACCCAATAGTCAGTGACTGATTTGAGATCCATGGCTTGGCATATGTGTGCACTTTCAGCAAGTGGCCTTGTGAGGTCCTTGAGGTTAAATCCAGTGACAGAAAGACTGAATTTCAAGTCTGGATCTAAGCTCAGTCCCAGATCTGTCATGAATTAGCTGTGTAATTTGGGGCAAATAACCTAAACTGTTCAGGCCTGTAGTTTATCATCTATAAAATCAGGGAACTTGCATAGATAGCTATGAAGTCTTTTCAACTTTATAATTATCTGAAACTTATGATTTAAGTAAACATTGAAGTTGTATGGACAAAATGTTGCATTTTAGAAATCAAAAGCATTTTGGGCATCTCTTAATCCAATGGTGATGGCATATCTGAGTCATTTATGAAATTAAATATCTTGGTGGCATTATCCTTAGTCATTATGACAGGCTGGTGTTTGGTGGCATCTTAAAATCCAAGAGTAGGAAGGATTGATTTAGTCCAGACGGGGAAAAAGGCCCAGAGAGATTAAACGACTACTAAGATCACAAAGCTGATAGATGGGGCTCTCTCTTTTGACCACCCCACCAGATAGTGCTCTCACCCCAAAGTCTAATTCATGCTTTTGAGGTACTATTACTCACTGGCCTTACCAGAAGGTAAGGTAGTCTAAGAAGAATAAAGAGGCGTGAACTTCTCCTATTCTTGGATGTCACCTGCCTGACTGGGAAAAGGAAACCCAGATTTTCGGAGTCAGACCAATACCTGCCACCACCGCTGGAGCTTGGTGGGCCAAAGGGAACCAGCCCCCCAGAGAAGATGGTGGCCTGTCTCTAGGCTTTGTGACACTAGTGCCAACATTGCAACATTGCCTTTATGTGTCTCCCCAGCCCCTACCTTGTAGTCGCACCACTCACTACTGAGGCACTCTCAGGAGTTTGTGAACCTTCTTTCAAGCAGCCTTGAGGATGAGTTATAGAATTTTTCTGTTCAGAACAAAGTATCACATAGCAACAGTAACAGCTGTCTTTTGATATTTATCAATAGCTGTACCAGATATTTTGCTAAGTGTTTTATAATCATACCTAAGTTATCACAGCACTGGGCCAGATGCGATGGCTCACACCTATAATCCCAGCACTTTGGGAGGCCAAGGCGGGTGGATCACCTGAGGTTGGGAGTTCGAGGCTAGCCTGACCAACACGGAGAAACCCTGTCTGTACCAAAAAAAGTACAAAAATTAGCCAGGTATGGTGGCACATGTCTGTAATCCCAGCTACTTAAGAGGCTGAGGCAGTAGAATCCCTTCAACCCAGGAGGCGGAGGTTGCAGTGAGCCGAGATCGTGCCATTGCACTCCAGCCTGGGCAACAAGAGCAAAACTTTGTCTTAAAAAAAAAAAAAAAAAGTTATCATAGCACTGTAAAGTGAGTTACCTAGTTGAGTAAATAAAGGATCAGAGGGTCCATAGTCTGCTCACGGTGATACAGCCTGGCAAGAATGAGATTAGAACATAGGTGCTCCTCATGCATGCTCCCTGAAAGGGGCAGCTTGTCTTTCAGGGCTTATTTTAATCCTCCAGGATGTCCTTGTGGTCTACAATAAGGCAAAGGACAGGTGGAGGCCATCTTCATGATGCAACCTACGCTAATTCTGACAAAGAGGAGCTCTTCTCCATTGTTCTCTCTTTAACGCAAAAGTATAGAAGGCATGTAAGTGATTTGATCTTCTTCCCAGTATAGCACACCGGAAATGCCCCATCCCCTTCTAGACCAATAACCTTTGGGAGAGTACAAAATTAAGATGCTGAAGAGGCAAAGCATTTAGATGTGGTATGAACTACACGGCAAGTAAGAAATATCAATAGCATTCAAATATGCAGCTAGAGTCACCATTAAAAAAAGCACCTAGACTAGTCTGAGAATCTCATCAGATTCACTTCTAAATCGTAGACTTGAGTACATTATGATTTGTAATTTAAGAAGCTTACATAGTGACCAGGAAAAAGGCAAAATGAGGAATAATTTATCTCCAGGTGATATCTCTTAAATTTGTTATAAGTCATTTTGTGTTATGAGATTTAAACATCTGGATGCTTAAAGGCTCAAAGATTATCAACATTACTTGACAAATAAGACAGGACAGACATGCTTCTGTCATGCTTCTCCACGATTATCAAGGAAACAGAAATCAAATAAGGGATTTGTTGGATTACCTTTGGTCCAGGAAGTCCATGAGGTCCCTGAAAAAGGAAAACAGAGCTTTTAATTAAGAACTGATTCACTGTTTCCCAGCAGAAGTGAATATTATATCAAGCAACAAAAGAGATGTAAAACAAGAATCTTCTTGTTTGAGCTATAGCTAGAGGCAGGCTAGTGGATGTTATTTATTGCCTACCAAAAGTTCCTTCCAGCTCTTGGGTGGCTCTGTAATAGGAAATTCATTAATAGCCATTCTGTCTGCTAATACCTTTGAGGAGGAAGAAATCTGCCAGGGATACATGGAAGAAAGAAGTGGGGAAAATATTCTGAACTCAAATTACCATTAAAAAATCTGAGTGGAATACATGAGATATTTCAAGAGTTTAAATAAAATAAAAATATGACTTCAAAGAGAAATTTGCCAAAGAGAAGGCCCAGACTTTAGGTGCCAGGGAAGAGGAGACATTTTCTATTAACTCCTCCAGACCCAAAGGAGACTAGTGAGGAGATAATACCCAAGTTTGGGATTCTGTAGCATCATTTATTTAGTTTAAAGAAAAGATTATTATGTAGGAAAGCTAAGCATTATTATTTACATTGCATTTATTTTTACAAAACAAATTCTTCAAGGCTCCTGTAATAATTATTGGTGGAAGAAAATCATAATACATGCATGAATCAAGATTATAAAACGTGTATTTTGTAGAAAATCTAAATATAGAGACTAGTCAAGTTAACTAAGCTTACTGTGGATTGCTGTAAACTTTTCAAGTGTTTTAAACTATTTGGAGAAAGGAGTATTTAAATATTTGTCAGTAAAATTATAAAACTGCAGAAAAAAGTTTTTATTGAGCAATGCCTAGATATTTGTTACATATGTCCACATTAGAATAACATTTTGCTTTTCAATAAGTTTCAGATAAACGTTTTCAGGAAAAGGCTGGGCTGTTACTTTATCAGGTGTTCTTATCTCATTTTAATAAGGTTTAAAATTCCTTTAAACTGATTAATTTTATGATATGAACAGGATATAGCATTTTCTAACTTAACCTTCTATCTTATAGTAGAGGGAGTATTTTTAAAAAGCTGAAAGTATGTAATTTGCTTAATTCTTAATGAACCATCTGGTTTTAAGAAAATAAGGTCACATCAGGCGAGGTGGCTAAAACCTATAATCCTAGCACTTTGAAAGGCCAAAGTGGGTATATCACTTCAGCCCAGCAGTTCAAGACCAGCCTAGGCAATGTGGTGAAACTTCATCTCTTCAAAAAATGCAAAAATTAACTGGGCATAGTTGGTGGCATGTGCCTGTAGCCCCAGCTACTTGGGAGACTAATGTGGGAGGATCACCTGAGCCCAGGATACAGAAGTTGCAGTGAGCCATGATCGTGCCACTGCACTCCAGCCTGGGCGATAGAGTGAGACCCTGTCTGGAAAAAGAAAGAAAGAAAGAAAGAAAGAAAATACGATCAATAATAATTGTTTATGTTATGCAATAGAAATGGAGCTAGTCAGAAATGGATGACTAGCTACCTTCTGTGGCTTAGATCATTCCAATAATGCTCTTTCTTGGAGTGCAATGGGAGGAAAGAGTGACCACAATTTACTTATTCTGTAATACTGAAGTCTTTTGATTTATTAACACCTTAGAGACACACATCTAGCCTGCCTGACTTGATCCTATTCTGCCCCAGTCAAAAGCACTTGAAGCTCTCTGCCTTTGACATTTTAACCTTAACACAACTGTCACTGGTTTATCATTTAGAGAATTATACTTGGCTTAATGACTGCCTTCCTTACTGGACCTCAGTTCCTTGAGGGTAGGGTCACTGTCTCCATTGGCCACTGCAAGACACCTGCAGCTAGCACTGGCCCTGACTCAGTGAATCGATCAAAGTACCATAAAAGTGAGAAGGAGAAGATCTAACAATATACATTATCTGTAGAAAGAAGATTCAACTTTTATCATACTATTTTACAAATATTCTTCTTAAAAATTGACACATAATAACTATATATTTATGGATACAATGTGATGTTTTGATGCCATATAAAAAATGTTTTTATTGAACATTTCATTAAAGAGTTCAAACTTCAACGTTTGTAAGAAACATTCTTTAATGGCTATTATTATTTTATTTTTTTATTTTTTGAGATAGGGTCTCAGTGTCTCCCAGGCTAAAGTGCAAGGGCATGATCACAACTCACAACAGCCTCAGCCTCCCTGGGCTCAGGTGATCCTCCCACCTCAGCCTTCTGAGTAGCTGGGACTACATGAGTGTACCACCATGCCCAGTTAATTTTTGTATTTTTTGCAGAGATGGGGTTTCACCATGTTGCCCAGGCTGGTAACTACTGACCTCAAATGATCTGCTCGCCTTGGCCTCCCAAACTGTTGGGATTACAGGCATAAGCCATTGTGTGCAGTCGATTCTTAATCTTATTCTACTGGTATCAGGTTAGAGCAGCGACTGGATAAAATGATTTGCCAGCGTTCATGCTGTAAGGCTATAGTAGAGCTTGCTAGATTTGTCTGTCTTTCTTTACCTCTGTCATAGAAGAGAACTACTCTATCTCTTCCCAACATATGTGTTTGGGAGAGTGAAAGATAACATGGTAAAGTTAGTATATCTCAGAGCACCTGGTATTTTCCATCATTCCACAGAGTAGTACAAAATGCAAGCTGGCTGTTTAGAGGGATGTGTTCATGTTTTCCCTAGTAGCATGCTCGTAAATAAGCAATTACATTTTAGAAAAAAGGGAAACTTACCATGGGGCCAGGTGGGCCATGGGGACCTGGTGGGCCTGGTGGGCCTATGATCTGTATGTTCAAAAAATAAAAATATATTTGGTTACTTCATTTAGATAAGGCAGTTCAACTTGAATCTTGTGCTGGGGTTCTGCTAAGACCATTAGTAGTTGCAGAGGAAGAAAGATACTGAAATAAGTGATGTGTTTGATTCTCTAGATTTAGAAATTCCCTTGTGAGAATAAAAAAAAAATACTCCAAAAAAAGTTCTACAAAAGCCAGAATAAATCAAAAGTATGCTAAAAGAAAAGGAAGGAACTCATTACTAAGAAATGCTATAATGTCACTATCAAACTCAAATATTTCACAAAGTATAAGGAGGGCTCTGGAGAAACTAACAAGCATGTTCTATATTCACAAAGATCTATCCATTGTTATGAGAAAACCATTGATTTTTTTCCTTAGAATTAGCCAGTCCTCTGAAAACCTGCTTCTTCCTCAGACCTGTGAGATACTTCATCTGTCACTATGCAAGGCTGATGAATGTTTCTCCTACAATTTGACAAACCAAGAGGTTTAAGGTCTTTGTGATGTTGTTCAGCCACCTGGCAGAGGTGGAATAGGTAAATAACAAGTCAGCATGTGAGAAGGTTCAGGAACCACGGAAGTTCAGCCGCCATGGACTTACAGAAGGACCCTGTGGACCCGGCATTCCAGAATCTCCTTTTTCTCCTTTCATTCCATTGGCTCCCTGTAAATAACCATTAAGCAAATTTATTTCCAGCATAAGAGACAACAGAATTTTCTCCCCAACCCCATTGTTCTCTTGACATTTTATAACATTATGCACTTGCTACAGAAAAAAGGGATTCATCTCCTTGCATTCTAGCTTAAAAAAGCAAGCTTACTAAAATCCCTAGGATTATGGGTGATATGTAAAATAAAATACGGAGTAAATAAAAACCAGTTTGAGCTTGATTGGTTAAAGTTCTCCAGTTTTAAATATATATTGAGTTATAAATGTTATATCTTTTATGGTGGTGTGCAATTTAAACAGCAAAGGTAAGTCTTTTAGTTTTTACTGATATTTATATACTTCTTTGTTTCATAAAAAAGTCTAAGGCAGTGGAGTTTACTGCATTTTTTAAAACAATTTTACATTTTCTCCTTGAAATTCTCAGAATTATGAGGAAAACCATAAAACACTATCATATAGGATCATACACACAGAGGACACTTTCCAGAGTAATTTGTTTTTTACTTGTAATTTGTTTTTTAATTTAAATATTTTTTGGCTCATTTCTTTATTATGGTTTATTTTATAGTAACCAGTTACCACCATCTTATGCATACTAAATTAAAGTGGCCAACTATGTTTATTTTATTATCTTCTAGGGAAAACAATTAAGGAAAACATGGAGGCTTACTTCATAATTCATTTGGTTACATGCTTTACAATTTGAGTTCCCTAGAGTAATTAACCAATAATACCTCAAATATTTGAAAATAAAAATATTAGATGAACCACTAGATGAAATTGCAGCTAATAATATAACTGTTTTCTGATTGTTTAATAGATCTTAATAAGAACATAATATAAATGTATAAACATACCGGTAATCCAGGAAGTCCAATTCCTCCTTTTTCACCTGGCATACCTGGGTCCCCCATGTCTCCCTTTGAGCCTTTGAGTCCCTAAAAATGATAGATAGGGTTGGCACATAAGCAGCATACTGACCCCTGATAGTTACATCCTAGGGAAAAGAGAATTCTGGATCAATTTGGTTAGTAGGTGGGTTCAATGTTGAGATGGGTCAGATTTTTGTTTTTAGGTAGTTATTCCTTACAGCAACTTTCTACATGCAATCAATACTATTTCCCCTTGTAATGAAATATATTAAGTTATATTAGGCTATTTAAGTATGAAAAACCAGGTTTTTCATGAACTTAGGTTTTGATATAAATTCTCCTGATTTTATATTTTTACCTGGCAGCTAATTCTATCTCACCAGACCTGAAAACAACTTAATACATTTAATTCTCAATAGTAGAGGATGTATTTTGAACCGGGCCCTAGTGTTATATAATAATAAATACCCAGACAAATTTTTCTCATCTCCACCTACTATACTCCCCTCGTTCCTAACTGCAGGCAGAAGTTCCAGTCACCATCAGTGTTCAATGGTTCAATCTACAGACTGGTAAATCATTGGATCATTTGCTGCACACTAATGCTCAATCAATGCTTAAAAGTACAACAACCTCTTCACAGTGTTCTTATTTTGTTCTCATGATATCTCTATGAAGCGAGCCAGAATGTTATTCTCCTTTTACAGTGAGGAAATAGATAAATGTGCATTATGAATGTTAAAGAAATTGAATTTTGAATTTTTTTAAGACAGAGTGTCTCTGGACTGCAATGGTGCGATCTCGGCTCACTGCAACCTCCGGCTCCTGGGTTCAAGCCATTCTCCTGCTTTAGTCTCCCAAGTAGCTGGGACAACAGGCATGTGCCACCATACCCAGCTAATTTTTGTATTTTTAGTAGAGATGAGGTTTTACCATGTTGGTCACGCTGGTCTCAAACTCCTGACCTCAGGTGATCTGCCTACCTTGGCCTTCCAAAGTGCTGGAATTGCAGGCATGAGCCACCATGCCAGGCCTGAATTTTATAACATTAATACTGGCATTAATTTATATTTTTAAGCATTTTCATCCTAGAAAACTCACTTCAATATGACCGATGGCTCATTCTTCGTATAGTTAAATGGTAAGGGGCTTCTAGGCTGCACAAATCTGTTTATCTTTTTTTATTAAAAATTATTTGTGGAGAACGATTATTTATGGAAAGGAACTTTTCTTCTTAACTGTACCTATTTCACAGCCCCTAGTCCAGAATTACCCACTGGGTGGGTAGGTGCCTGAATGAATGGATAGATCCTACTGGTTAATCAGACCCGGATATTTTTTTAGGGATCTAGTGATAGAGAGCAGCAGGATGGCAGCCCACTGGACTTGGTGACAGAAGAAAACCTTGCAAAGTCTAAAAAAAAAAAAAAAAAAAGCAAGCTACTGTATCTGCAGGGGCCTTATTGTATATCATTATGCATGTCAAATTAATTACTTATAATGACCAACGGTGAGACAAGTAACAGACAGATTTTAAAATTCTATGTGATCTATGACATAGCAAATCATCTAGGGTATCGTTTTTTATCGCATGTTCATTTAATATGGCATTATATTATTTAAACATATAACTCTGATGCTAAAAAATAACATCTCCTAAACCTAATTTTCCTATCTAATACTTTCTTCTGAGGAGTGTATGTTCACTAACTGCATTAAGAATCCTTTTGATTAAAGGGGAAAAAAAAGGAAAAAAAGAATCTTTTTGATTTCTTATGATTTTCCTGATTTTAGCCATTTCTTGAGTAAATAATGGAAACAGAGAAAACACTAAAGATCTTAAAATGAATCCTTTTGATTCCATTCCAAATTCTGAATACTGTCTATGTTCTCCAGCTCAGATTCTTTTAGGGCAGGTGTTGCCAAACCATGGCTCATGGGCCAAATCCATCCCAGGGATTATTTTTGTACAGGGTGGTGTTTTTTAAAAAATGCTAAGAGGTGTTAACCAAAAAATAAAGTAAAATAAAAAGGAAACTAGAAAATGTCAACAGAGACTGTATGTGGCCTGTAAAGCCTAAAGCATTTACTATCTGGACCTTTATTAACAAAGCTTGCTAACTTCTGTTTCAGGGGGAACCCTCAGAGATATACCACCATACCCTGTAAAGCTACAAGTGCCCTGCTTGTTTCTGTATTTTCCAAGGATCTAGAGATTAGGTGTCATCTTTATTTGGGAAAAGAAAACATTGTCTAAATAAGGCATATAGGCAAGATTTAGTTTTATGGAAACTATGGTCACTGATGAAAATTAGGCTATTTTTACTAACTTGGTAATGACTTTACAAGTCTATTAAAAATTTGCAGAGGAGTCACTGGTAGGTTGCTATAAAGTATTAAGAACAAAACTTAAGTATTATATGGCTTAGATGTTTCTGCAAAGAAAGCTGGTCTAATTTCAAACTAATTGCTTTTTAGAGTCAATGAAGTCTCTAGAACAAATGGTTAAAAGAAAGAGGGTATCAAATATGAACACTCATGACACTTTGGCTTCAAACCTACAATAAAAGTAGCCATCAAGAATGATGCTTTAAATAAAGGCATATGTCTTTGAAAATTACCTGCTCTCCATCCATTCCTGGGATTCCTGGAGATCCTTGCTCTCCCTGTTAAGATAAAAATAGATGACCCACCTCCATTTCTCATTAGTAACATCCTGCACTACATAAAAAATGATGCTAGTTGGTTAACAGTACAATTTGACTTTCAGCAAAGGCATCATAACCTGAGAATATTCTATTATAGCACATATCTAAACTAAGAGAAGTAATAATCTTTCTTTGAGACTATGCATAGTATTCATATGCAGCTAAGATCCAGTGCTTTTATTGTTTTTATTTTTTCTCCGTGTGAGATGCAGGCTAAAAAAGAGTGGTCAAAGAAAACTGATAGACATAATTTGATAACTGGCCATATCCTATAGCAACAACCTATCTGCCTCAGTTATTTTTTTTCTCCATACAAAATCTGTATGATTTCTCTCTCCAATTTCAGTGAAAAGGAAAACATTAACAGTTAACCTAAAAAAATAAAATGCAAGGCCTCATGAATTTGCAACAGTATTTTAATTCGCACAGTTCAAGCAGTTAGTTACAAATTCATGATTGTGAGTGTGCAATTTCCAGAGAACCCTCACTGAAGGATATCATAAATCAGATATCTTAATCCATGTAAAATTACTTTTGGATCAATTCAATTTCTTATACTGTGCTATGAATCAACTAAAATTTACTATTCATATTTTGATTTATTCTTATTTTTGACAAAGTCAAAATATAGAGAGTTTTGTTTGCTTTTTTAAACTAAAGATGTTCCATTATAAACAAATGTGTAACATATGCCAGAGAGTTAATCGAACAGCAAATGTTTAGTCACTTTTCAGTTTTGAAAGGTAACTACATAAACAAATTACTTGAAAAGTAAGCATTATTTTATATCAATGAGTCATTTATGTGGATCCCATTACAAATATCCCTGAATCCCATACTGTGGAAACTTTGTAAAAAACAGTTCTTCTGACTGTGAGAGGGCTGCCTCACAGACAGGTTTCCAAGGGAGCTGACCTGAGGCTGTATTTTCTAGAAAGGTCTGTTTGGTGATACGATAAACCACGATATTGAAATGGCTAGAGCTCCTTTCCCTGGTAAAAACTTTAAGAGCTGTGAGCTACAGCATGAAACTTGAGCTTTCCAGTGTTTAAGAAAGGCATGATCTTGTGGTTCTAAACAAATGAAGCAAGAAAAGGGGCTGGGGAAGGGCCCTTTCTTATTTCAGATTTCCTGCTCTTTGTGGTAGCAGCAAAGTTTATTTTGCCACAAACAAGTCTGCTGAGGTTGGATGCACCTGGCTAAGCCCTAGTTTCATTCAGGGTCTGAATACTTGTCAGCACCATGGGTCCAATAATGATGGCTTTGCTAGGCTTTTCCCTTTAAAATATGACTCACAAGTGTTTAAAAGAAAAACATAATTCATGAGTTATTCATTTATTCTTCACCCCTCAAATGGGGTTTCTAAGAGTTATTTGATGTGTAAGGAATCAAACAATTCTTGTGTGATAAACGAAGGAGAAACGCTAACTGAGTAAGTTCCCATTCATTCTGAGTTCCAAGGTTAGAAAGGGTTCTATACTAGACTCAGGCTACATTTTGCTGTCTCTTGGTAATAGCTACTTTCCGCCCCAATTATCCCAACCTTCTCAAGGACAGATCATGGAAAACATAAAGGACTATATCAGCTAACACGAGATCTCAATTATAAGACCATTGTAGGTTGGGTGGGGTAGGTACGATAGTATAGTGGGAAGGATGGCAAGGGTAGGAGGTGAGAATGACTCAGCCCTTCCTCCATATTGCTTGTCTAGATAGTCATCTGGGCAACTTCTTCCTGTCTTTCAGTTTCAACTCAAAGCCACCCTTAACTCTTAAGACTTAGAGGGGCCTTCTATGCACTTACTCCACCTATTAATAATTGCACCTTTACTTGCCTATCTTCCTCCTTAGACTAGAAGCTCCTTATTGGAATGCCTTTCTAGTAACCTTACTAGATATTATTCCTTACCATAGATTAGAGGTTCAAAAATTACTTACTGAATAATTGAATTAATACATAAATAGCAATTGGATTATAAAACCAGGGGAATGTAGGTTTTAGTGATACAGATTTTTTATCTAAGAGGTCCTGTTTGCCTTTTTGGGTCAAAGAATGGATGCCTTTGGGGCTTCTCCAGGCCTTTGGGCTGTAGAGAAAAGTCCTAGAAGCTTTTGAGGTTTGTGGGAAATGAGATACGTATTTAGCTTTGGGGACAATTTTGGTTCTGGAGACTTAGTCAAGTGAGGAAGTAAAGTAACGAACTTAGACCCTTGGTTGATTCTACACAAAGGAGAAAAGAAACTGCAGACTTCCTTCTAGGATATCTAGTCCAGCTTGCCAAGATATTACAGAATGGCAAACCAGGCAGTGCTACTCACCAAGAATAAAAATTACGTGTAGTTTTTTTGTGTGTTATATCTCTTAGGGACCAGAATGTGCTGAAGAAATATAAAGTTAAAAATCCAACACCTTATATTAATGTTATACATGAAATCTGTTTGAAATTAGAATCTATGTTCTAAATGTATAGCTAAGGAGCTCAGTAATACTGTAATTTATATTCCTTTATATAATAGAAAAATAAATTTTCTATATACTACTGTTTTTAAGTAACTCAAAAGGGTACAAAAGCTGATATGTGTGCATATGTGTTATGATAGACTTAGCAAATAAACTGCTTTAAGAAGCATAAACAAAAGATGAATTTTGAAATCACTTGAATCTCCTACAAGAATCCAATGACGAAAGTCATATTTCAACACATGTCGTTCAGTTCTGAAAAGCCAGGATCACTGGCCATGTGTTAATTGATCAAACATGGTTGAATGACTAAGCTTCAGTCTGGAGGGAGAAAGCCATCAACAAAGTTTAGATATAAGCAAGCAATACTAGCCTTCTTCTATTTTTAGTTGGTATGTTTCATTAGATGAGATTTAAATGACAAAATTTCTGACAAAGTATATAATAAAGAATGCATTATTAAAAAAGACTGAAAAATTATTCCTAACCTTTTGATTTGTGAATGCTTCATACTAAAACTTCCCTTACTCTTTTTATTCCAAAAGCATTGGAAACAAGGAATTTTCTTGGTGTCAAATTAAATTTTCTCCAATCCTCCTTTAATTAAATATTTTCTTTTCCTTTCACACACCATATGCAGTGTTTTTTACATTTATAATTTCCCTGGAACTTGTTTTTCCCTTGTTTAATATTCTTTTTCTCAATATCTTCCCCCAAATTAAATTTCTCTCTCTCCTTTTCCTATTTTCCTTTCATCTTTCTAATTTTTTATCTTCCTTCAGTCCAGACCTCAATTTCTTTTCTTCACTCTCTAAAAAAATATTAAAACAATCTCAGCTTCTTCAGCATTTTGTAAGACTGATTTTCAAAGATGCATATACTTAATGTAGCATTCTCTGCACTGTATGTGATAAATGGAAACAAGTAAATAAAGAATAACCTTTGGCCCTTGTAGTCCTTGAGGTCCAGGAGGTCCAGGTGGACCCTAAATCAAGAAAAAGCACAGTTTTTAAAAGCAGTAATTATATGTATTAAAATTCATGCCTTAAGTAATAGGCACACTATACACCTCCCTTATTTCTATTGTCGTCAGATATCCCCAAACATAAATTTGCAATGAGGAAAAATTTCACTGGTTATATAATTAGAAAAAAACACCTATTTATATACTAAAATATTAACACATTTTAGGTCAAAATAATACAGAAGGTGCTTTTGGATAGATTTGATAAGGCAATGTAAAATTGCTACCGTGCTCCACATTCATCGTCTTGGGATGAATTAGCCTATAAATATTAGCTTTGTTTCCATATACACTCCTTGCCCCTCCACCCCAAAGGCTGTGATTTCCCAAATTATTATTCAGGTAAGGCCAGAGATTTTTAAGAAAATCAGCAATCACTTTTTTCTTGACTTTTGCACTAAGCAGACAAAATGATTCAACTGGAGCAAATGTAAAAGGTTATTAATAAAAGAAAACATAAAATTAAGTATCAGATGAAAACAATGGCTACATTAGTATCATTTTGGCTGGCATGCATCAACACCAAATACAAAACCACACACCACAGAAAGCATGCAATAGGAGTTACCGTGACAGTTAAGGTGGTAATCCTCTGTTGGGAAAATGTATTGATAAAGACAGAGTTATCTATTTTGTGTGCCACAGTAAAGTAATACATTGTGAAATAATCAACTTTTTGAATATGTTTTGGCTAGTCTGATATCTTATAAGGAGCTGACAAGATACTGAGGACATATTATCCTATCTTCAATACAGTATAGTTGTAGAGATGTTTAAAAAATTATATCTAGAATCCTATTTAAAAAGTTTTTGGCTGAAGAAAAAGAAATGTCAAAATTTTAATTCACCTGATTGAAAAAATAATGCAGTAAAGTTGTAGATGCTACAGGCTTGTCAGTATAATTGTGAACTGAGAAATTTTGCTATTGATGAAAGCTCTATTCTAGATAGCACTTCATTAGAGAAAACTGAAAGACACAACTACATATTTTTTTTCTTTGAATCCGCAGCTCATTTGTTGCACTAAAATTAACTTTGTATATGTGTGTGTGACATGACTAAAGATATTAGTTGACATAGAATTAATCTAATTTCTTTTTTTTTGCATTCCAATATTTTTTGTGAATTTAATAAGAAAAATGAATTTTTTTCTTTTTATTTATTTATTATACTTAAATTCTGGGATACATGTGTAGAACGGGCAGATTTGTTATATAGGTATACATGTGCCATGGTGGTTTACTCACCCATCAACCTAATATCTACATTAGGTATTTCTCCTAAAGCTATCCCTACCCTTCTCCCCTAGCCCCGACATGCCCCAGTGCATGACGTTCCCCTTCCTGTGCCCATATGTTCTCATTGTTCAACTCTCACTTATGACTGAGATGCCATGTTTGGTTTTCTGTTCCCTGTGTTAGCTTGCTGAGAATGATGGTTTCCAGCTTCATCCATGTCCCCGCAAAGGACATGAACTCATTCTTTTTTGTGGCTGCATAGTATTCCATGGTATATATGTGTCACATTTTGTTTATTCAGTCTATCACTGATGGGCATTTGGGTTGGTTCCAAGTCTTTGCTATTGTGAATAGTGCTGTAATAAAATATGTGTGTATGTCTTTATAGTAGACTGGTACCAAAACAGTTTTAAAGACCAATGGAATAGAACAGAGGCCTCAGAAATAATACCACACCATCTAAAACCATCTGATCTTTCACAAACCTGACAAAAACAAGCAATAGGGAAAGGATTCCCTATTTAATAAATGGTGTTGGGAAAACTGGCTAGTCATATGCTGAAAACTAAAATTGGACACCTTTTTTACACCTTATACAAAAGTTAACTCAAGATGGATTAAAGACTTAAAACATAAGATCTAAAACCATAAAAACCCTAGAAGAAAACCTAGGTAATACCATTCAGGACATAGGCATGGGCAAAGACTTCATGACTAAAACACCAAAAGTAATTGCAACAAAAGTCAAAATTGGCAAATAGGATCTTTAAACTAAAGAGCTTCTGCACAGCAAAAGAAACTATCATCAGAGTCAACGAGCAACCTACAGAATGGGAGAAAAATTTTGCAATCTATCCATCAGACAAAGGGCTAATATCCAAAATCTACAAGGGACTTAAACAAATTTACAAGAAAAAAAAAACCCCATCAAAAAGTGGGTGAAAGATACGAACAAACACTTTTCAAAAGAAGAGATTTATGCAGCCAACAAACATATGAAAAAAAGTTCATCATCACTGGTCATTAGAGAAATGAAAATCAAAACCACAATGAGATACCACCTCACACCAGTTAGAATGGTGATCATTAAAAAGTCAGGAAGCAACAGATGCTGGAGAGGATGTGGAGAAATAGGAATGCTTTTACAGTGTTGGTGGGAGTGTAAATTAGTTCAACCATTGTGGAAGACAGTGTGGTGATTCCTTTGATTCCTTAAGGATCTGGAAGTAGAAATACCATTTGACCTACCAATCCCATTACTGGGTACATACTCAAATAATTAATCTAATTTCAGTAACAAAACACACTGTCTTAAAAGTCTGAATCTCTGAAACATAATTCCTAATCCCATAAATCATATCTTTGAATTAATGTTTTCTGGTCTAGGTTCTGTGCTGAAAGTTCTATGGGGTTGATAATCACTTTATGAAATCACAGAGGGGAGAACATTTTTTTTAGGAACTCTGGACATAGAGAAATATTATTCAATTACATTCAAACTTGTGGATATCAGTTGAACACCATTCTTCTGTTTTCCACGACTCCACTCCAATCTCTGATTTGAGCTGTTGTAACTGTGTTTTTTTTTTTTTTAATTGTTGTAAAAATGTCCACAAACTGGGGGCAACGTTATAAGAAAAAAATAAGGCCCCAGAATTTTACACCACCATATCTGTGGAATATAACACTATTTACTTTATTCTTCAGGGATTCACCTAGAACAAGAATTGGATTTCTAATTACGAGAAAGCTACTTTTTTTTTGTTCCTACAGTGTAGATAAGTCATTTGAACAACGCTATTAGAAATTTACAGAGTAAAAATAATATCTTTATCATTGCCTTCCAATTACATGCTACTTTTTAACTAGAAAACAGGGTCATAAAGCCCTAAAAAGGAAAGAGAGCTTCAGATTTGAGCTTTCTGAGATTTTCCAACATGTGCCATATATGAATTCATTTTTCACCTGAACATAATGCTAGTTTTTATTTTTTTTAAATTAAGGATAACATGTTTAATAATGAGCTGCAAAATAATATTATTAATGGTAACTGACCTAACAGACGGAGTTTAAATGATTTTGTTAAATAAGTATACTTGTAAAACTTTCAAATTGTATAGTGTTCAATCCAGCTAATAGAAAAACAAATGACAAGCTGAGCAAACTTCACAAATACATAGTCTTGACCACCATCTGGAAGCACCAGTATGCAGACATACAGAGAAGTCCTAACGATTTTGGCTCACTGTGCATTTCTTATATGTGGCAAATCCAAGTTAAAGCTATATAAACTCAGCAGGATTCTCTCTTAAACTCAAGTAATGATTTGAAAACCAGAATTTTTGGTAGTGATGGAAAAAGACATGCCATTCTCTGGTGAGATATGATGTGAAATGGGAGGCATGAACTATAGAAACTGCAAATTGGATAATCCCAGCAGCCTGCTTTGTGATTTATTCCCTGAAATGTTTATCTCAATCTCTTTAGAATTAAAGGTTATTTTCTCTCATTTCTCATAATGATGAAAGCTTAAACTCACCCATGATTCACACTAGAGAACAGGTTTAGTTTAGATGGTAATGAGAATTTTTTTAAAGAGTCAATTAGGAAACAGAGGTTTTGCTACTAATTTGTGGAAATTTAACCACCTTAAATAAAAATAAATAGCTTATGGCAATGTTTACGTAAATAACAATTTTCAATAGAGGCAACGATATAATTTTATATTTCTAATATGGTATGATTATAACTGTAATATGCTTCTATTTATCTGATCATCCTAGAATATTTTTGGCAGATTGTTTTAAAAGGGGTAATAATGACATAAAACCTGCAAAACTGTAAATATCCATCACTGGTTAGAGATTTAAAAGAATAAATGTCTACCATCTCTTCTCAATCTAATGTAACTAATTTTATTAGGGATCCAATTCACTAGAGCACTATGTTAGCACCAGTAGTTCTGATGTAAAAAAAATAACTATAAGCTCTTTATAAGCATGGCATTTAGTTGAATAACAACCAACCCCTTAAGAATAATAAACCTTTAGGTTGAGACATAAGCATGAACTAGTTGACTAAGATGGATATTGACTGCTTTGCAGTCATACAGAACTAAAGATGAGAAAAAAAACAGAGATATATCTTTTCATATCAAGATATAGGTGTCATATTTTTTAAAAAGTACAGTGCTTTTTGGCATATCAGTAAAAGGTGTTCAGAAGCTCTGAAAAATCACCCTAAGAATAGTATTAGGTTTCATGGACTCACAGAAAAAAAATTATTCCAATAACATCCTCATTTTGCAGATAAGATCAATGTATCTATAATATAGATACATTAAGCAATTTCCCCAAAATGACTCAGCTAATAGAGGGCTGAGTCATTTTAGAAATGAGATTTGGAATGAGATGGAAACAGAGATTTGCATTTTAGACTAAGGGTAGCTTGCCTCATGCCAGACCCAGCTCATGCAAAGAACGCTTTGAGAACTTGATCACAGTGTTGCAGAAAATGCCAATTATATTGGAGCAGTTCTTGGATAAGAAAGCAGCTACCTCTTAAAGGTGGTAGCAGGAATTATGGGGCCACTGGAAGTAGTCCAAGGGCAATTTACAACATTGCTAATAAATTAAGTTTTTAAAAACTTCCTAAATTTTAGAAGAACTTTGAAAACATAGTAGGCACACCAAAACTTTGTGTTCTCTGTCTCTGTCTCCCTTTCTTTCCTTACATAGTTATCAACTTGTGGGGAAAAGGGAACAATTTAGAAAACTAGTTCTAGAACTTGACCGTAACCCAGAAGCTACTGCTTGTATCTAATCCAATTACACAGAGTAACACTAATTTAAGCTCTTGACTAAAGATACTGTCCAAGCAACATTTCTCCAAGCAGTAAACATGCTTTTCTTTGTATTTTACCAGAAGAAAAATAATGAAAAGGCCAAAAAATAGGCTGAGCTGAAGACAGATTAAAAAAAAATGACTTAGTACTTTACTAGTTAAAAATGATAGTTGTAGCAAAAAACCTATAGAAGTAGAGATCTGTCATAATTAGATTGTGTTAGTAAAATCATAAAGATGGAAAAATAATTCAAACAGGTACAAAGTGGCAGAGAAATATTTAAAACAACAAATCTGGCTTACAAGCAAAGAATGGCTTGTATGAATTAAGTATACTTATTCAACTAGTAACTGTTTACTTAATATTTACATACCTAGACAATATAAGCATAAAATATTTTTCTGTCGCCAAGCTTACAGTTTGGTAAGAGCTCAGACTAAAATCAACTATGGAGTTTGATTTTAAATGATAAACACTGGACCTTCTCTACTAATGTTTAAAAAGATTAAGAGGAAGAACTCACCTGGGCAGCAGCAGTGAATTGTTGTGTAGAATTTATACGGGAAAGAAAGGAAAGAAGAAGGGGATGAACCCAGGCAAAAAGGAGGAGATTTGTATGGATATGATAGAAATGATTATGCCAGGAGAAACTGTGCTGTGGAGAAATGAAGAGTCCTACACAGGAAGGGCATGACTAGAGAGGCTTAAGTTGGAGAAGCTTGGGGTTGATAGAGTAAGCAATAGGGGGTCTTTACAGTTTCTGAGCAAATCAGAGCTACCGAAGCCATGATCGTTTATAAAAATTAATCTTGGAGTGATACACAAGATGAATGAGAAGGACAAGGAGGCACTAGGGAAAGAGTCATTGGTCAGGGAGCTGTTGCTGTATTAGGCAGGAAGTAAACAGGATGTGGACTCAGTTGGGAATGGAAAGAACAGGCAATCTCAAGAGATACTTTGAAAAAGAAAATAGCAGCCCCTTGGTGAGAGAGAATAAGTGAAGGACTAAGAATAGTTTAAAAATGGCCCTAAAGTTTCTATCCCCCAAAATTCAGATTCATATTATAACTAACAGAAACCAGTTACTTAAAAAAGGGACTCATTTGGTAGGTAGGAAAGGTATCCAGTATAATTGTATGAATTGATGGAAGTTGATAAGGCATTGACACATCCATAATGGGAATATTCTTGGACAGCTGGGGGTGTACACAGATTATATCTGGAGATGAAAGATTTGAGAGCCACAGTGTGGAAGGACACAGAGGGAGTGACTGTACCAAGAAAAGATCAGAGACTTGAGGATACTAAAACCTAGGGAATGGACAGAGAAATTAGAAACACAAAAATAAAGGTGATATGCAAAGAAGAAAAATCCAAAAAAAAAAAAAATGAAATAAAAATAGAAGGTCAGAGAGACCCAAAAAAAGTTTCAAAAGGAAAGTGGTTTGATATAAATATCACAAAAAAGTCAAGGGCGATGGGTCTAGTGGAGTTGACATATAGGTTATCATTGACCTCTGTAAGAGAAGTTGCAACAGAATGATGACAGAGGCTAGAATGCAGGAGTCTACACATGAAAAGAATTAATAGGAAGCAAAGGTGATAGAGACAAGCCAGACAGTCTATTGCTTACTTAATGAGAAGAAAATAATTATATGGTAACAATAATAAGAAATAATAATAAGAGGGCTTACTATATGCCATGCACTGCTCTAAGAGTTAGTATATATTGTGCCATTTGCTCTTCTCAACAACCCAATGAGGCAGATACTACTTCCACTCTCATTCTGTAGATGGGAAAACTGAGGCACAGAGAAGTGAAATCGCTTGTCCTAGGTCACACATTTAGTAAGCAAGAGAGCTGAGATTTGAATGCAGTCAGCTCCAGCCCCAGAGGCACAGAGCTCTTGATTGCCTTGCCAAGCTCCCTCTGCAAGCAAGGAGGCAAAAATTGGGCACACACACACAAGGTTTATCCCTCATAAGGCTTAACTATATTTGAAGGTGGAAGGGAAAGGAAAAAAGGGATTAAAAAATGCTATAAAATTCAGAAGATAAACTGGGGCAGAGAGAAGGAGATGGGTTCTGGAGAACAGAAAGAAGGGGTGCCTTGAGCAGGGGAGTCCTCTGAGGTTAGAGGGTGTGGAAACTCATTTGCACATGTTACAAGGATGTTCTTCAGCATTCTTCTCAGTGTGTGTCAGGGCAGGGAGCAGCCACTTGCCTGTAAGGCTTCATGGAGGTTGCCGTTGTAGTCTATGATCTCAGTGGCTCCTTGATCTCCTTTTTGACCAGGTGGACCCTGTGACAAAAACCGACCAAGGGAACATCATGGGTGTTAGCTTGGCACATAGGGTGGACTGTAGCAGAAACAGAAATACCAACTCATAGCTCTCTCTGACCATCATTTCCCCACTAAGGCCCAACTGTACTTTATAATATATGAATAATTATGCTCAAAATTTATCCTTATTTCAAAGGAGGCAAACCACTTCTTACATCCTGTCTGTGGTAGGGTCAAGATAAGAAATCTGATTTTAAAAATACATACAATTTAATTTTTAAAACTATTTTCTGAAAATTACAATATAGGATAATCTGATGTGACCTGTAAAATTTTATTGGCTTTATTCATATTTATTAAAGCATCCTCTAACCTTTTGTTCCTCATCTATACCTTATACAGTGCTTCCTCATTCTTTTTTTTTTTTTTTT